GAGTACTTCTACTTTTACTCAAGTACAAGATCAGAGTACTTCTACTTTTACTCAAGTACAAGATCAGAGTACTTCTACCACCTCTGCTTGGTGGACGGGTGAAGCACCAATCAAAGAACCATGTCAGGTGTTTTGTTCAGGACGCTATGAAGTGGGCAGTTATTGGCTCCAAAGAGCTGCAGCCAGTCCCAAATCACAAACCTCAAAATACATGTGCCCTTTGGAGGACCTGCGGTTCTAAAAGCTGTCAGAGCGCTGAGTGGGGGGGGTGGGTGTGTGAGGGTGTGTTTGTGTGTGTGTGAGGGTGTGTGTGTGTGTGGGGTGTGTGAGGGTGTGTGTGTGTGTGAGGGTGTGTGTGTGTGTGGGGTGTGTGTGTGTGCGTGTGTGAGGGTGTGTGTGTGTGTGGGGTGTGTGTGTGCGCGTGTGTGAGGGTGTGTGTGGTGTGTGTGTGTGTGTGGTGTGTGTGTGTGTGTGCGTGTGTGTGTGTGTGTGTCCTAGCATTACTATACTTGTGGGGACCTAAATCTGTTTACACAGTCACGTGTGGGGACGCGCCTCCCTTATGGGGACAAATTGGAGGTCCCCATAAGGGGAATCATTAATTTTAGGGTGAAGACTTGGTTAGGGTTAGGCATGTGTTGGTTATGGTTAAGGTTAGGATAAGTCTCCAGGAAATGCATGTAAGTCAATGTAATGTCCCCCTGAAGTGATGTATACATGGTATGGTGTGTGTGTGTGTGTGTGTGTGTGTGTGGTGTGTGTGTGTGTGTGTGTGTGTGTGTGTGTGTGTGTGTGTGTGTGTGTGTGTGTGTGTGTGTGATGTGTGTGTGTGTGTGGTTTTAACTTCATTTTTGGTCAAATATAAGGGTATATCCAAGATTCAAGATTCTAGATATTGTGATTGTTGGGCTGCATGATGGGACACAATGAATTCAACAGGTGATGAAGAGGCTTTGGAGAAAACCACTGGAGTCAGAGGTTAGATGTATATCACAGTGTAATCCTGACTCCTCACATGGAGCTATTTGAGGACCAGTTCCTGAGCACGGCTGATCTTCTGATGGTTTATTTTCGACCCACATGGATTTGTTGTTTTACTAGTGGATACAACATGTGTTTATTTATGTTTGGGGTGAACACATGTGCCGTGGTTTGGTGTTGGATGAAGACAGAGTTCGGCTGAACTTAGTTGACCTCGGGAAAGGTGTTTGGAAAGACTGAGCTGCAAAGATTCAGATAACAAAGATACAGCAGCACGAGTAGGCTGATTCAAATGTTGACAGCACATCTGGAAACTTGTCTTTTTGGCAATATTGCATGAAATATGAAATGTTTGTAATCGTGAGAACTTTCAACGGTTGTAAAAAATCTGCTTAGTAGTTATTTTAAACCACTGCAGTGTTTTGCAACCGGAGAAGCCTTCAATCGCACGGATCTATCAATCAGATCGTGGAGTTGAATGTCAGTGTCTCACCTGAATCTGGAGCAAAGAGGAGATAGTGACTGTGCCTATTTTCAACGCCATGTCTATTGATATCGGTGATTTAGATGCGACTATTTTGGAGCCTCCTCAAGGAAAGTGGTGCATCATAAGAATCCACTGCATGATTATGTTCACTTTTATTATTACTTCTTCAAGGAGCTGATGGTTCAGTTTCTTGGTTTAAGTTTCAGCAGAATGTGCAACCACTTCCCTATAAGTAATAATAATAATAAGCGCTTTTCTTGAAACTCAAAGACACAATTCAGAAAAACAACACACTTAAAATATATAAAAGGTTAAGGGTTAGCCTAACTCTAACCCTTAACAAGGCCCGGGACCCCCAATGACCCTTTACCTCAGCCACATCATAGACTCTATGCATTACATGAATGCACACAATGTAAACAATATCTTGTTCATCTTAAAGGTGCCCTATTATACTGTTATATTATAGGTCTCAGATATATCCAGAGCCTGTCTCTGATTGGCTGAAACACCAAACAGATCATTGCAGCATTACCCATAATCCCCTCTGTTTCAGCCCTGTTTCCAAAGTGCTGATTCTCTGTCTGTTAATTTAGATGAAAATAAGGAGCCCCTCCCCACGCCCCTCTGAGAGACATTTGGTTACAAAGAACTCAATGGTGCTCTAGGAGGAGATTCAGGTGATAAGGGGGGGGGGGGGGTTACCTTGGTTGCTGATTGGCTGATGGTTACACAAGACAACACATCATAAAGTGGCCAAAATCTGATCAGCTCATTTTCAGACAGGTTTTTATAGAAATGGATCAAAAAGAGAGAGAATCTTTGTTCCTGAAACTTTCAGAGTCTCTTTCCACAGAGGGGACACATGTTGATGTAGAAGAGACATGAAGAAGAGGGGACACATGTTGATGTAGAAGAGACATGAAGAAGAGGGGACACATGTTGATGTAGAAGAGACATGAAGAAGAGGGGACACATGTTGATGTAGAAGAGACATGAAGAAGAGGGGACACATGTTGATGTAGAAGAGACATGAAGAAGAGGGGACACATGTTGATGTAGAAGAGACATGAAGAAGAGGGGACATGTTGATGTAGAAGAGACATGAAGAAGAGGGGACACGTGTTGATGTAGAAGAGACATGAAGAAGAGGGGACACGTGTTGATGAAGAAGAGACATGAAGAAGAGGGGACACATGTTGATGTAGAAGAGACATGAAGAAGAGGGGACACATGTTGATGAAGAAGAGACATGAAGAAGAGGGACACATGTTGATGTAGAAGAGACATGAAGAAGAGGGGACACATGTTGATGTAGAAGAGACATGAAGAAGAGGGGACATGTTGATGTAGAAGAGACATGAAGAAGAGGGGACACGTGTTGATGTAGAAGAGACATGAAGAAGAGGGGACACATGTTGATGTAGAAGAGACATGAGGGAGAGGGGACACATGTTGATGTAGAAGAGACATGAAGAAGAGGGGACACATGTTGATGTAGAAGAGACATGAAGAAGAGGGGACACATGTTGATGTAGAAGAGACATGGAGAAGAGGGGACACATGTTGATGTAGAAGAGACATGAAGAAGAGGGGACACATGTTGATGTAGAAGAGACATGAAGAAGAGGGGACACATGTTGATGTAGAAGAGACATGAAGAAGAGGGGGACACATGTTGATGTAGAAGAGACATGAAGAAGAGGGGACACGTGTTGATGTAGAAGAGACATGGAGAAGAGGGGACACATGTTGATGTAGAAGAGACATGAAGAAGAGGGGACACATGTTGATGTAGAAGAGACATGAAGAAGAGGGGACACATGTTGATGTAGAAGAGACATGAAGAAGATGGGACACGTGTTGATGTAGAAGAGACATGAAGAAGATGGGACACATGTTGATGTAGAAGAGACATGAAGAAGATGGGACACGTGTTGATGTAGAAGAGACATGAAGAAGAGGGGACACGTGTTGATGTAGAAGAGACATGAAGAAGAGGGGACACATGTTGATGTAGAAGAGACATGAAGAAGAGGGGACACGTGTTGATGAAGAAGAGACATGAAGAAGAGGGGACACGTGTTGATGTAGAAGAGACATGAAGAAGAGGGGACACGTGTTGATGAAGAAGAGACATGAAGAAGAGGGGACACATGTTGATGTAGAGGAGACATGAAGAAGAGGGGACACATGTTGATGTAGAAGAGACATGAAGAAGAGGGGACACGTGTTGATGTAGAAGAGACATGAAGAAGAGGGGACACGTGTTGATGTAGAAGAGACATGAAGAAGAGGGGACACGTGTTGATGAAGAAGAGACATGAAGAAGAGGGGACACGTGTTGATGAAGAAGAGACATGAAGAAGAGGGGACACATGTTGATGTAGAGGAGACATGGAGAAGAGGGGACACATGTTGATGTAGAAGAGACATGAAGAAGAGGGGACACGTGTTGATGAAGAAGAGACATGAAGAAGAGGGGACACATGTTGATGTAGAGGAGACATGGAGAAGAGGGGACACATGTTGATGTAGAAGAGACATGAAGAAGAGGGGACACATGTTGATGTAGAAGAGACATGAAGAAGAGGGGACACATGTTGATGTAGAAGAGACATGAAGAAGAGGGGACACATGTTGATGTAGAAGAGACATGAAGAAGAGGGGACACATGTTGATGGAGAAGAGACATGAAGAAGAGGGGACACATGTTGATGTAGAAGAGACATGAAGAAGAGGGGACACATGTTGATGTAGAAGAGACATGAAGAAGAGGGGACACATATTGATGTAGAGGAGACATGAAGAAGAGGGGACACATGTTGATGTAGAAGAGACATGAAGAAGAGGGGACACATGTTGATGTAGAAGAGACATAAAGAAGAGGGGACACATGTTGATGTAGAAGAGACATGGAGAAGAGGGGACACACGTTGATGTAGAAGAGACATAAAGAAGAGGGGACACATGTTGATGTAGAAGAGACATGAAGAAGAGGGGACACACGTTGATGTAGAAGAGACATGAAGAAGAGGGGACACACGTTGATGTAGAAGAGACATGAAGAAGAGGGGACACACGTTGATGTAGAAGAGACATGAAGAAGAGGACACACATGTTGATGTAGAAGAGACCTGGAGAAGAGGGGACACATGTTGATGTAGAAGAGACATGAAGAAGAGGGGACACATGTTGATGTAGAAGAGACATGAAGAAGAGGGGACACATGTTGATGTAGAAGAGACATGAAGAAGAGGGGACACATGTTGATGTAGAAGAGACATGGAGAAGAGGACACACATGTTGATGTAGAAGAGACATGGAGAAGAGGGGACACATGTTGATGTAGAAGAGACATGGAGAAGAGGGGACACATGTTGATGTAGAAGAGACATGAAGAAGAGGGGGACACATGTTGATGTAGAAGAGACATGAAGAAGAGGGGACACATGTTGATGTAGAGAGACATGAAGAAGATGGATTTTGCACAATAGGTGACCTTGAAACTGAGAACCGATGGAGTACTCACGTTAGTATCAGCGTGTCTCTTTGCTCTCCATGGAGGTGGAGCTGGGTTGTTAGTTGAAGCAGAGTTCGACCCTCCGCTGGACCCCGAAAACCTCCGAACACATCGACTGGCTGCACTCGGATTCTTCCCGCTCTTTCTTCTCTTTGTCCATTCTTTAAACTCTCCTCCTTGTCCTTCCTCTCCATCTGTA